GGGCACTTCCGGCGCGGCGGCGGGGCGCGCGCTACAGCTGGGAAGCCTCGGAGGGGCGGGGGGAGGTAAGGTACGGGACGTGGGGGCGCGCCGGTGCTTTGCCCCCCGCCCTCTCCTCTCTTTTCCCCGCGCCTGCCGGGGTCGCTGCGGTGTTTGCGTAGGGCCTGGCGGCTCCGCCGAGGTTACGCTGCTCTTGGGGCGTAAAATTCCTTGGAGAATCGGGGCCCGGTTGAGGGGTGGGGGTGGGGCGGGTGCTGCGCGGGGCCGGAGTGGAGGTGCCCGTCCCCGTCCCGCTCCCACCGGGCCCGGGTCCCCTCAGCGGGAGGGGTGTGGGGGAAGAGGAAAGCGAAAGCCCCTCCTTTGTTGGTGCGGCACCTCCCGCAGGCCGGGCCCGGAGCGAGGGCGGCGGACCTGCCCTTCCGGTGTCAGCCGGGCTGGGGCGCCCCCGGGTGCAGCTCCCTGTGCGGGCTGACAGCCCCGTCCTCCCGCAGAGAGGTGCCGAGCCCCGGGGTCGCTGCCGTGAGGCTCTGCTCACATACCAGCCCCAGCTTGGGGTGCAGGAGGGGCCCGGAGTGAATCTCAAGAGGCCTGAGGAGGCTGCCGACCAAAATAGACTTGGCAGAGAAACTGGGGGGCGCTGTCACGAGGGGGGTTGTCTGGCAAGGAATCCACTTGCTGGGGTTGTGATCCTGGCTACTTCATGGATAGGCAATTCTTCGATTTGTCCGATGTAAGAAATCGGAGCCCAGCCCCAGAGGGCAGGTTCTGGCGTCTCGCATCCTCGCTAGGCGTAGTAATGAGGTAGGGTGGAAAAGGGCTGAGTCCCTGACTGCGTGTAGGGTGCGGGGTTTCTGACTCGGTAGGAGTGACTTGCAAAACTCATGAGGTTCAAAATGGATTCAGATTTAGAAAAGTGGGTGGCTTGAGCATTCTCCAAAGTGGCTTTTTTTCCCCTGTGACCTCTTAGCTTAGCTTCTGAAGTAGTGGCACCTAGCCATATACAAAATAACTAAATGTATGTGCATGGACAGTCATGTTTTTATAGGAGTAGAGTTGCTTGTTTTCATCTTTCTATATGAATATACCATTTCACAGGCTGTGCAAGTAGCAGTGTAGTTAAGAAAAGCTTTTGGGAAAGCTAAACTTGAATCAGTAACTTTTTGGCTACTTTTTTTTTTTTTTTAGCTACTTTCAATGTTAAGGAGGGGAAAGTGGAATCTATACAACCAAGACCATGTGGCTTTTTTATTTTTTCCCTTAACCTCTACCTGTCTAGACTGGCCAAGTTCATTATGTTTTTGCAGTAGTAGTAAATTCCTCTAATGTTAACTTAAGTGGGTGGTCTGGTATTTTTTTTTTTAATGCTAAACAAAAATCTAATCAGCCTGATCATAGTGATTTGTATCCCTTCCTTTTTCTTATATGATTCATTGTTGACAAATGGTTTGAAGGGTGTTTGAAATCATCTTGTAGATCAGGGGGTGGCCAAGCTGTGGCTGAGGGAGCCTCTGTATGGCATGCAGCAGATCGGGGAGGGAGCAGGGAACACTGTGATAAGGCGGGGAGCAGGAAGCACAGTAGCAGATCAGGCAGGGGAAGGAGGTTGGAGTGGCACTTATGGTGGGTGTGGGGCTTTCCTTGTGGCATGCCTGCTAAAGTTTGGTTCCCACTATTGTACACTAGTGGAAAAGACTGCTATCATTATGGGAAGGTCAACGACTATCTATTGTCAGTTGCCATGGCAGTCGGAAGAATGCAAAATTATGTTTTGGGTGGAATCGTATTTGAACTCCAGCTTCTAGGTTCGTAACACCAAGTTCTTGCATCTGATCATAACTCCCTTTAGAGGGGCACGTGAAAGGGTGATGTTTTCTTCTGTGCGTTTCCTCGAATTTTTGCTTAAAGTTTCAGTAACCACAGGTAGAACTTGCGTTGTCCACCCCAAGTATCTAATCTAGTTCAAGTATCCATCTGGATGAAGTACCTCGGACCAAGGTGAGAGCAGGAAGTCTTCTGCAGGCCCTCCAGAGTGCTGAGGAAGGTCATTGGACGAAGACAAGAAATTATATTTAGGTACCACTTTGTACTTGTCCCTGGGACCTGAAAGACTCAAGGTGGCTGTTTTCTTAATTGGTGAGACAAAGTCTCTTAAGTGGTAGCAAAGGAGCAGATACCACATTTTATCTGTTTTAGCAGCAGGATTTTTATTTTGTGCATACCTTGTATCTTTCCCCAGTGGTGAAATCGCTTTTGAACTAAAATTGATTTTTAAAAAAGAAAGAAAATAAACAAAAATCTAAGGTACGTGGTGGTAGGTGGAATACTAGTACATTTTGTCCTAAAAACAAACAGGTATAGGTGGGACATAAGTTGCAGTGCATTACTCAAATGTAGCACAGGTGCCTGAGTTAGTTTTCCATAAGGAACAAGGGCCTAATAGTGTAATGTAGCGGTTCCCGAACTCTGACACATTGCGCACCACCAATTTAAAACAATACAACCTTAAGTACCAGCAATTTTTTGTCATATAAAGTAATTATAATAAATCTATTAACACATACCACTGACAAGTTGTCTGCGTTATAATCTTACATTACGTTGTGAGTTTTATATAGAAGTGGCATATGATGAAAGCTAACCACATCTTGCTGTTTTTCATAGTCACAAACGTTGCCACGTATACAAGTGACTCTGTCAACTGCTTTCTGTTCAGAACCTTGTATTAGTCCGGAGGTGGCCTGTATCTGTTAAATTCTAAGCTGTCTACCTCCATGAATGCAAAATGGGATCCTACATAATGAATACTAATTTTTCCTGGTGGAGTTTAGGCCTCATCCTTACCACTGCGCTAGAGATGTCGGAGTCTTTTTTTCAATACAGCCTCCTTTCAGGGAAAGTAGGGAATATTACATTGTTAGATTATCAGCACCTCCTTTAGTGATGGTGGCTTCTCTGAGACAACTGTTATGGAGCTTCTGCTCAGAAACCAGTTCTTTATTGTTGTAAATCTGGTAAATCATATACAGTATCTTGGCTAATGGTATAGAGAAAGTTGTGGTGTCACAGTTGACTGCCAAAGTGATTCTGCTCTCGTTGATCCATGACAATTGGCGCTTGAGCATGGGGTGGAGATTGCACTAGTGTTATAGCTAGATTGCTTATTGGTGATAAGACTGAGTACCTGTGTGTGTGGGGTTTTTTTTCAGTCCCCCCCGCCCATACACACACACACACACACACTTTGGTCATTGGGCATATCTGACCATTGGGAAGATTTTTGAGTTTGTGGTATTTTCAGTATGATAATGACAGACCGTTCTACATTTCTAATGCTTACCCTAAAGCTTGAGGCATGGATGAAAGCAAGCTGCAGAATTTCAATCAATTCAGCTACTGCTGTAACTGATAATTTGGAGAAGTATCCTGAAGATAGTTTAGGGATGAAGATTTTCTCTCTAATTGAGGACTTTTTATATTCTGTCTATTAGTAAATCTTGCAACTCGAAGATGGTCTTAACTTGTGAGCAGCTGTGTCTAGACAGACTTTTAAAATCTTCTCTTAGCTGTGGAGATTTACTGTCTCTTTTGGATAGAGATCTTGCTACTGTAATCCATACCTTTGTAGCTTTTAAGATTAGGCTGCTAAAGGGAACTCTGCATGGGACTATGCTTTCAGATTACTGAGCATAGTTAACTGGCACAGGATGCAGCAGCATGGTCATAAGTGGTATATCTTACAGGGAACACTTCACATTAGGGACTTGTTACCTGTGCCTAATGCTTCTTGGAGTCTGGGTGGAGCTTAAGATCCTGCAAGCCAAACATTTTAAGGGGCTGCTGTAGTATGTGTTTGGCAGGGATCCCATCAATATGAAGAAACAGAAATTGGAGTAGCACACTTTTTAGTGAAATCAGACACTTTGGATCTTTCCTTTGACTCCTGTAGTCTGAATAGCTGGACTTTATTGATCTTTGGGGGCATGTTGTAATAGTGCTTGTTATGCAGGATCTTGGGGATGGAGCAGCAGAATAAAGGCTGACATTTGGCAACTAAGTTTTTTAGAATTTGATTTCTAATGTGTCAGTGTAAGCTACTTTCTCATTTGGGAGTGTACAAAATCTAGTTTTATTTCTGATTTTCTTCCCTCCCACCCCCTTCACTTTTGGCAAATCCCTCTACAGATCAGGATAGGTATTTTTGTGGAGGTTTATCATATGATGCGCATGTGTGTGTGAATGAGTTTGAGCTTTAAAACTAGTATTGTGAACAAGGGAGGTGAGTCTTCCCGGGGTGTACAAATAGTGATACTTTAAAGGAATGGCTCAGTGTTTACAAGCTCTCCAGATTCAGGTAAGCATATGTAGATTTTTTGCATGACGGAGAAACTGGTTTCGTTTCTTTGGTCCTGACACTTAAGTTCATTTGAGGCTTTGGAGGTCACCAACTCCTAAGTATGACTATTTCAGTTCTTAACTTAAATTTTAACTAGAAGCACATTTAAGAAAATTGTTCATTGCAGTCGTGATTAAAATCCATTCAGCTCTTACTAGTTATACAAATACTAACCATTATGATTTTATTATAATTAGGGTACAAGTACAGGAGTAACTGAAGTTGTGACAACTGCTTTCCTAACACCTTTCAGGCACTTAGTACAAAGAGGTGTATTCATATAGTACTCTAATATTACTTTTATAAATTCCTAAGTACAGTGTTAGTTTATGTATTCTGAAAATCAAACGCTTAACTAACAGTGTTTCCTTTAATAGGTATATAGGTCTTTCCTACCTTGTAATTAACACCCTTTGTTGGCAGAGTAGACACTTTAACCTGTATCATTTCCATTATCATGAGCTATAGTAGAATACCACAGTTGCTTCATGTATTCCTTGTCTTGTGCATCATTAAAAAATATGGTAGAAAGCTGCACCTTTCCTTCAGTTCCCTTTTTTGGAAAGAAAGATTACAAAGGTGGGACAAAAATTACAAGAGCTTGTGTGTTTCCACTTTTTTTTCTTCTTTCATGTGTACTTGAGGCAATATGCTTTCACCACCACCAAATGATGGACTGAAGAGCTGACTTTAGCAAAACTCTTCAGAGCAGAGACAATGTCTCATGTTTCACAGTGCTCTTGGCACTATAATTACCTTGTTTGCACATCTTGTTCTGACTGCCTCTATTTTAGGATGTGTACTGATGCTTGTTACCAGTGCATATGGACATGTCTTCTGTTAGACTGGAATGGGAAACTATATCGGAAGACAGGTTCTCAGGTTGTTCTCTTTTTTTTTTTGGGTAACAGGAAGCTGTTAGGAATGTGCCTGTTTTTCCTTAGGAAAGCTAAGGTAACAAAATGTCATTGTGATTATGGTGAAAAGGCCTCTGTCAAAGAAGAAGGACACTAAACTTTAAAGATGGCCATGGTCTGGATTACAATTAATGTCTGGAAACTTGTTCCTTAGCCAAACTCCCATAAACTCAAAGTTCCTTGTCTTCTAGTTTTTTTGGTTTAATTCTGGGTTTTGGGATCTGCATTGTTCCAAATAAGAGCAACACATGAAGCTGCATTCTAGTGGATGTATTATATCTAATTCTGATGGATCCATGTGTACAGTACAAGGCAAACTTGCATATTACTAGTGCCTGAATAAGCTGGCAGAGGCATAAGAAAAGATGGTATACTTAGTGCCTCTTAACTTCTCACATGACTTAGCAATTAAGGGGAGGAAAAGGACAAGCAAAAGATGGCAGCTTTAACACTGCCTAAGGCACAAGGAAGATTGCCAGGCACAGTTTACGTGAAAGCCACCTCTCCTTACACTTTTTATGCAAATGAATGCTTCTAGTCAAGCAGGAAGAGTAGCTTGTGGTCTGCAGAGTATGTAGCATTTGTAGATTAAAGGTAGCCCTTTAATTACATATAAAAGAAAGGGACTTTGACACACAATGAACAGAATAGGTACAGTGGCATTTAGACTAAGCTGAATGTGGAAACAATGCTGAGACCCTAAACTAATACAGAATGCATCTCTTCCAAGGTTTGGTCCACAAAGCAAACATTAAGTTCGCGTTTCAGTTCCTCAGTCCACTTCATGGATTGCTATGGCTGTCAGCTGAAGGTCTTGATCCGTAAAATGGACTGAACCTACTCCTCCTGCTTGACTAGAAACATTCATTTCTATGAAGTGTAAGGAGAAGTGGCTTTCATGTAAACTGTGTCTGGCAAACTTCCTTGTGCCTTAGGCAGTGTTAAAGCTGCCATCTTTTGCTTGTCTTTTTCCTCCCCTCAATTGCTAAGTCATGTGAGAAGTTAAGAGCACTGAGTACATCATCTTTTCTTTTCTTATGCCTCGACCAGCTTATTCAGGCACTAATAATATGCAAGTTTGCCTTGTACTGTCTACCGATCTCACAAGGTGTTGCCTTGCAGCAGGGGTTGTCAACTGGAGATATGCATACCCCTGGAGGTACTTGGACCAGTCCTAAAGGGTATGCATGGGCGGGTGGGGACGGAGTGTCGCTGCCTCCCAGGAGCAGGAAGCTCACACGCAGCAGCTGCTGCCACTGCCACACCCCAGCCCAGTGAGCTTCCCCACCCCTGCAGAGGGGCACTGCTGCCCTCACCCCAGCCCGGAGAAGAACTTCCTCGTCCCAGCCTGGCCCTGGTCCTGGGAGGTAGTGGCGCTCTGTCCCCACCCATCTGTGCACTGTCCCTGCCTCCCTGCTCTGTGTCCAGACACGCGCTATTTCCCCCCCCCCACACACACACACTCAGCGTCTGGCCACGCACTACCCCCTTAAACTAAAAAAGAAAACCCCTGCCTTACAGGACAAAGATGTCAACTTCTAGTTAAGACAGTGAGTTGTAGTGTAAGTCAGTGGTGGTCAACCTTTTTTTGGCAGGCAGGCCACAAATTAGTCCTGTGCCTCCTTCCCCGCCCCTGCAGCAAATGCCACTCTGCCTTCCCTTGCCTGATCATTTGCTCTGCTTTCTTCGTTATCCTCCCTGCCTGATCTGCTGCTTTGCTTTTTGCTCCCCTCCTTGGTCTACCATGTGTCATGCCCAAAGACTGTGGCCCCGGTGCCCCAGATTAGCCACCCCTGCTATAAGTCATGCAAACAAAGTGCTTTATACAATTTATAACAAATCCTTTCCTCAAAAACTTGTTTCTTTTCATTATTTGAAAATGAGTAAAGTGAATTGCAGTGATATCGCTGATGATCAAGCGACATAAGACTGGTTAAAAGAACAATTTGTGTAAGACTTACATATGCTCAATTCCTTCCCTCGCCACTCCCCTTGGAAAATGCCTTTTCAGTGATGTCTGACTTATCAAAATATTCCTGTATGAGCTAAAATTACTTGCTTTTTAACATCATTATTAGCTAGAAATGCAAGGAATTTAAGAATTTTTTGTGAGCAAATCACTCCTCACAGTTACCACCTAGTAGTAAATCTACTATTTGAAATCTCTTGTTGTAATCTATTATTTAGGAATTGTGGGAGTAGATTGGCATTTATAATGTTTTCTTTCTTCCCCTTAGGGTAACAAGTTTCCAGTTCTTTAAATATTCTTACACAACGAGGAAAAGGAAGAAACACTTTAGTGAATGTGGAGTTTTTTGCTCTTATAGCATTTCTCCTGAGAAGTGGGTCTTTGAATGAGGATGACAATGGAAGAGATGAAGAATGAAGCAGAGACTACTTCTATGGTTTCCATGCCACTCTATGCTGTTATGTATCCTGTCTTCAATGAGGTATGTTCCCCAGTTTATGGTGTAATGCTCTATTTTGACATTGGAAAACATGATCCTTGAAACTAAGGGATTCATAGATTCATGGATTTTAGGGTCAGAAGGGACCTTTTAGATCGTCAAGTCCGACCCTCTGCCTTGAGTTGAGATGAGTAACATACATTATTTGTCTTGATATGAAAGGATTTCCTACAAATCCATAAAGCCAGCATCCTCTTTCTCCTGACAGCTTCCCCCCTTCCCCCCTTAGTTCTTTTTCAGTGTTTCCTTTCTTAGTTTGGGAAGTTACAGATCTTTTGTAATGGCAAAAGTAACCTTGCTTAAAAACACCCTATTTTATGTGGGGCTAAAAATCTGTACCTTTGAGATGGGACGCCAATTCAGACGATATTTAAACAGTGTGATTACTTATAATGTTAGAGAAGTGTGTATCTTCTTTATTTAGAATAGAAGGCCTTTTAATGAAGGGTAAAGAGTGCTTTTAAACTGAGAAATTCTAACTTTTAAGTTTTCTGAAGTTCATGAATTTGCATCAAGTCTCAGGATATCTGAGTCTGTTGTAGGGAGAAGGATAGTTTGTACAGGATGCAGTGTACAGCTCATGCTTCTGTGACTGTCTGGTAATTTACCTGCCTTATGATAAGTTATGAGTATAGTGGAAGAGGACATCAGACAGCAAGAAGTAACTTTTTGTGCTAATGATTTAGTACAGGGTCTCCAACTACTAAGTGACTAAGGGCCACACCAGTGGGGATTGCATGCCTCATAGGTTGCACTAGCATGAACTTTGGGCTTCCAGGCTGAACTACCCCTGACCTCCCTGCTACATTGTCCATACAGGCAACTCCTCTTCTTCCTCCACCCCCTCCCCCTCATACTGCTGAATTGCATGTGTAGAAAGTCACTACACCATGCATGGGTAGCCCAAAACTCAGCTCCTTTGTTGCAGCACTGCGTTGGCCCACCCTCTGGGGTGGGAAGAGGAGCCTAGAGACCCCTGGCTTTCAGCAGCAGGTGAAGCAATAAGGAGAGTTGTGGCTGGGCAAGGGTTAACAGGCAGCCCCAGCCCCTAGTGGGCTGCTACTTGCACAACCCTGATTTTAATGAGATGATAAAGGAAGGGTAGATGAGTGGCTAGAGCTAGTTTGGGATGGACATAGATGGAGAAGGAGATGCACTAGTTGTTTTCATGTACTTAGAATTACTGTAACCACTGTGTGATAAGCCTATTAAATTTGGGTATACATGTGCCACATCTGAATTTTTCTTTTGCTAGCTTTAAGAATGGCTTTACAGTCCAAACATTTCAGTGCGTTATCTCCCTTCTAGTATAAAAACTATACAAGAGAAGTAAGAACATTAAGCATTCTTTTCCTAACCAAAATAGCATCTTGGCTGCAAATCTTTGTGGCAGTTACAACTGCCAGAATAATTATTAACTCCTACAGATCTTTTCCTTTGTTAAAAATCAATGACAACTTTACATTAATGTTTCGTAAGGTTACTGCTGATGTATCTTGCAAAATATCTAGTTAAGAACTCAGATTTCTCAAAACCAAAAAAATGCAGACTTGCGCTCACACAACCTTATATCTGCCCTCTGAGTGATGTCCCAGTATGCTCATAACATGCACACTGTCTGTGAAGTATACTGAACAGGAGCCTATACTGCCCCAAAGTTGTACACTCATAATTTCATAGTTGTTAGGGGCTGGGAAGGACTTTACAGATCATCGGGTCCAACCTAATCCACGGAAGGAATGCCACATCTGCTGAATCTTACAACCATTTCAACCTTAATATACGATTCTATGTAAGATTGGAAACCCAGAGATTACACTCCTTTGTTGCTTTGCTACTAACACTGCTTATATGCAACTGTACTGAAATGTGGCATGCTGGATTTCTCAGAGTATACATGAACCTTTTTGGTTTGGTACATGCAGGGTCAGGCAAGAGAGGTCCATCCCAGTGATACAGGATCTTCTTCTATCATAATTATGTGTGTGACAAGCTCCTTCAGTGTATACACTGAATGCTGAATAAAGGTGGGGTGATTTGCAGATAATTGGTAATAGCCCACAGGAGTTACAGGAGAAGGGCTAGAGAGAAAGTTGAACAGGTATGTGTCTTATTTCATATCTGGCTTAGAGAGCTTTCTGTTTTCCTGAATTTTACATAATTAAAAGTCATAAGATACCAGCAGGCAGCCTTAAATCTATGCTAACAAAGTTCTATCAGTGATATTTTTTCACTGGGTTTTAAGTGGTGGGAGCTGAGCAGTTTCATGGACAGTGTAGAGAGAGAGTAACACTTACCTTTTTTCTGTTTTTTTCCTTTTTTTTTTAATCTGATATTTAAAATTCAAAATGAGTATGTGAAAATGATAAATGAACAGCCGCTTTCCTCTTCCATTAAAATGGAAATGGCATGCATTAAGATTAGTGTATTAATAGCAAAGAGTGTCTGCACCTGCTGTGTAGGTGAAAGAATTAACTCTGAATAAAGAGCCAATCTAGAAATGCAGCTAGAATGAGTATTGGTTTATGAAAGTTAAAAATACTTTGTTAGTTTCGTAACTAGACAGCAAGTTACACGGCAGCTATTAAATATGTGTGTTTAAATTTGATGGACTGGGCAGCTTCCACCCAAAAGTAATAAAAGAATTGTCAGAGAATTCTGACCCATCACCCTTTTAACTGCTCCTAGAATACTAGTTTTATTCCAGTCCGTTAGAATTCCCTTGGCTACAGAGCCAGTTAGGCCAAGATCTGTACTGAGTGTAAGTCAGGGAAAGGTCAATCAGTAAAGAATTAAATGATGCTTTAAACCATCTTTTAAAGCCAGTTAACGTGACTTTTGACATGGGAAATAGATCTTGTTGGACAAGATAGTTTTTGATGCGATTACAGGTTTGGTTGACAAAGGAAAAATTGATCAAACTGACCTGGCTCATTTAGTAGCCCACCCCACTGAAGAAAACCCATTATCTTTCCAAATACTGGAACGAATTTAAGTTTGTTCATGGGCTCTGGTGTTTAAGTAGACTCCTGTTACTGGTCCAGGCTTTGATTTTCAGCCTCATGCAATTGCTTTCTTCATTAGCATCTTAGTTTTAGTAAATAGTGAACAGAATCATCCCTTCTTTTAGGATCAGATTTCCAGATCTCTGACTCAAGAGAGTCATTGACCTCATTTATTCCCTCTTTTTCCCAAAGGAGTGAGCAAAATGGAGTAAACGTAGGGTAACTAATTGACTTTTCTAATTCTGATGAAAACAGCATTGTTAATCATTCTAAACTTTCATTGCAGCTAGAGCGAGTGAATCTATCTGCAGCTCAGACACTGAGAGCAGCTTTTATTAAGGTGAGAAGAAAACTTATCAAACAAAGATTAAGCTGTACATGCTATTTTGATTATGCTATAAATGGATGTTTGGAACTTGGCTTAAAATCTAATATATATTTTTGGCTGTCTGTCTCCCTCACTGTACTTTTGGAAGCTGTTCTGAAGGAATCAAGTAGTTTACAGCTAGAGCATCGACTTCTGCTTTTATGGAAAGTCTGTTTTCTTTCTCTAGCTGATTATTTCACTTGCATGCATGAATGAAGTGTTATCTTAAAGCTATTGACAGATGTTCAGTTAAAGGCATTATGGGATCTGATTTGCAATCCCAACAATCGTTCCTCCTGCCATGTTACACATGCATGGCAGAATTCACAATTTTGGGATCGGGGCTCAGACCTCTGTTGTACCTTACAGGTGGAACCCAGCATCATGACCCCAGGCTCCCTTTGTACCAGCAAAGGTACCTGACAGCCAGCTGATTGTCAGTTGGATCTGGAAACCCATTGAAGTGGTTCAAGTCAGCTACCAGTCATCTAACTGGTGGCAGCATGGAGACCACGCTGGGGCTCAAATGGGCCCTGGCATGGCCACACATTCATTTTAAGGTACAATGGAAACCAGCCACAAAATTATTACACTTTTGACAGTTATTAATTGCTTGAATGTGTGGCTGGGTTACACTTCAGGGTGCGATTAACTGTTTAGAGCACCAGAGGGGGAAGCTTGCAAGCGGTGGCTGCAGCAACCATCCACCACCCCATGCCGCCACTCTGTGTGTGACGGCTGCTCCAGGTCCAGCTGCTTCTCTGGTTTAAAAAATCCAGAATTTTCAAATTTCTGGCAGGTGCTTGGTCCTAAGCATGCCGGATTTATGGGTTATACTGTAATTATTTCCCTCTATTCAGCACTGGTGAGACCACATCTGGAGAACCGTGTCAAGTTTGGGGGTTCCCCACTACAGAAATGATATGGACAAATTGAGAGAGTCCAGTGGAGGACAGTGAAAATGGTTTGGGAGCTGGGGCACATGACTTCTGAGGAAAGACTAAGGGAACTGCACTTATTTAGTTTGCAGAAGAGATGACTGAGAAGGGATTTGATAGTATCCTTTAACTACCTGCAAGGGGGTTCCAAAGAGAATGCAGCTAGACAGTTCTCAGTGGTGACAGATGACAGAACAAGGAGTAATGGTCTCAAGTTGCATCAAGGGAAGTTTAGGTTGGATATTAGGAAGAACTTTCTCACTAAGAGGGTGGCGAAGCACTGGAATATGTTATTTAGGGAGATAGTGGAATATCCATCTTTGGAGGTTTTTAAGATCCAGGTGGACAAAGTCCCTTTAATCCAGTTGGGGATGGTTCTGTTTCGAGCAGGGGGTTAAACTAGATGACTTCCTGAGGTCCCTTCCAACCCTGATTTTTCTATGATTCTATGACTTACTGTCACCTTTTTTTTTAATTAATTTTATTAGAGGAGAGGTGGCTTGTGGCTTCTGAAATTTTTGTTCGTTTCTCAAGAAATGCATGCAAATACCTGCCTCCCTGGAAAGATGTTTCAGGTAGTTCTGCAAGGAATCTTAGCTTTTTTGGCTGAGGAGAGGGCCTTGAGGCTCTTTTTGATAGCATATAAATCTGACATGAGGCTAGCTTCAGTGCAGTGGTGTTGCTCTTTTAAGGCATCTTGGCAAGAAAGATGACCACTTGCTAGGCTTCAACTGTTGCATCAAGTTTCTGAAGGAAAGTGGGGAGGACTTTTAGACTCTTCCTGATGAAACCTGCGGAAGCTCCCAAAATCCAGTACGATTCATAGATTCATATGAAGCTATCCTAGAGCACTTGAAAGAGTAAATCTGCAAAACTGAAGTTTTTTTTATCATTGCCATGTAGTAAAAATTGGTGCTGGCATGCCAGCATTATTGCAGACTTAGCTCTGTCTTGTGAACCTATTAAGTAGCTAAAATATATAAAGTGCTTTGTTGGTGGCAGTTACCCTTAACGTCAAAAAACTAACATAGACTAGTAAAAATTTTGCAAGGTGATGCAGTTTTGTTTTTCTGACTAGGAGTGCATCTTTCCTCTCCTCATTGGTTCCATCTAAAATCTTTCAAACTGCTCTTTCGTGAGCTGCAATAATAACCAAGTTGACATATGGGTACGAAGTCACATACTCAGCGATACTGATATGAAGCCTTGGAGTGACAGATGTTTCCATGTTGTTACTGGTGTATAACATGTTGACAAAAGATGTCACCTGTGGCATTTAAAATAACACAATGGAAATAGAGTCTATAATACAAAAATGGAAGAGGGGAAGCAATCAAATGAAAGCAAGAGCAAAAAAAATGATATGCAGCAAAAATAAAGTCTGAATAGATAAATATTTCTTGTAGAAGAGACCTAAGTATATTAGTCTAAGTTTACACTTTGCAGGTGAGAAAATGAGTACAAAGTGGAACTAGTATATTAGTGTACAAAATGTTTTATTGATTACTTGGATGAAAAATAGAATTCACGCTTTGGAGACTTATTTTTATATTGAACTGTTGGTATATCTCCAATTCTGCTTTCTTTATTTCAGCTTCATAGAGGGCTTTGTGGGGGCTTTTGTTCTTTAGGATTGTGCTGCTGTAAGATGTTTCATTAAGTGGTAGTGGTTTTGAACATGCTTTCAGCAGATATTATATTATCCAGGATGTGCCTCAGTAAATGTTGGTGTGAAAAAGACTGAGCCCAGAAGGGAATTAGCAATTTTTACTTGCATTGAGAAATGTATATTTAATTAAATAAATACTCAGAGGTAAGCAAAACAATCTCATTAAAATATAACCGAAATTATAATTTAATGATAGGTAGTGAGGGGCAGAAGTAAGCATGGGTAACTGAAAAATGAAGATACAGAAAAGAAATGTCAATGTAAAAAGCAGTTACACCATTAGTCAGATCTCTGTAAAACTTGTGAATAGTTTCTCTTTGATTACCAACACTGCTGATTTGGTGTGATATGTATGAGTTAAATATACAGATACATATACCAGGTATACATGAGTTCCAATAACAAGAGGAACATCACTATATCCTTATATTCTGGTGTGAGAGAAGAAAACTATGGTCAAGAGTGGATTAAACAGCTTTCTCTGTTAAAATCAGCCTTCTCATTTTCAGCGTTAAATGTGAGGCTTTTAATAATTTGCACAAAGGGTGAAATAAGGGAGGTAAAAAGTTTGATATATCACTAAGTATTTTTTTTACTTGAATCTAAATATGTGGGATGGTTTACTAGGTAAAGTTGTTGATGCAAAAATACTTCCATTAGATGAGAAAAATGGATGTTTAGGTGGAAAAAATGCTACAGAAAATGCTTTGATGTTTGTTTTCTGTCTGTTCTGCTCCTAGTTCTTAAATTGATCTTGTTCACATAATCTGTTGCACTGAATTTGAAAGTAATAAATGTTCACCCAATTCTCTATATAATTTTAAATTGGAATGTCCACTTGCAACCTAGGCTGAAAAAGAAAATCCAGGTCTCACACAGGATATCATCATGAAAATTTTGGAGAAAAAAAGTGTAGAAGTTAACTTCACAGAATCTCTCCTGCGTATGTCAGCTGATGATGTAGAAGGTATGTATCGTTGCTAAGGATGATACTGTTGGTCTTTGTAGGACAGCCAAATGTGGGGTTTGTTGAATGTTTTTGTTGTTGTTTAAGTCTTGCAAATGAGCCTGGAAGCTTTCTGATTCTGGACAGATTGTGTATTTGAAGTACAGGTGAATACCTGAATAATACATAATACTCAGGGTTGGATTTGTTTTTTTGTTTTGGTGGGGGTGGAGGCTCATTTTAAAAGTAAAAAAGAAACTACACAAAAACCCTATTATAATAAACATACATGGTGGCATGGTTATCTGACTGGATACAGCGATTTTTGGTTTTTTGTTTGTTTTTGTTTTTTCTCAAATTAAACTTTTTGTGTCTATTTATCTTCTGTAATTGAAAATGCCTAATTTTAATCATCTCGGTGAGAAGTAATAAATTGTACATGCATGTTCTTTTCTCAATATACGTGTGTGATTTCTCCCACCCCCAGTTTCAGACTGGAATCAGGAGGAAAAATGCTAGCAATGTGCGTAACATTAGAAAAAAGGATTCACTAAAAAGTTTAACTCCATTAAGAACAGTTTTTTTGAAAAAATGGATTGGATTAATATAATGTTGTAATTCTTTTCATTGTTTTGCTTTGTTTGTTTGACAGTAGTAAAAGATATTTAATAGAATGTGTGTCTATTTCTATAGAAACTAACTGCAGTTTTGACGTACGCGTTATGCTGGTCTGTGTGTCTTTTAAAAATACAGTTTTGAGATACTGATGATGAAACTTCATGAAACAGCACTTTTTTTTAGTTGCTGGGCATAATTGAAAGTTATTAATGTTTCATATATTTTCCCCCATCAGAATATATGATTGAAAGGCCAGAGCCTGAATTCCAAGACCTAAATGAGAAGGCACGAGCACTTAAACATATTCTCAGTAAGATCCCTGATGAGATCAATGATAGAGTGAGGTTTCTTCAGACAATCAAGTAAGTGTGGCATTCTTTATTTATCTTCAGTTCAGGCTGAAAGCATTGACTTTAATGTTACACTGATAGGTATTCAGATACGTTACAGTTTTAGTGCTTCTTGACTACAAAGGAGATGTGACAGTGCCCTACTCTAGAAAATGTGGCCAAGCCTGTCTAGACAGCTTGATCTAGCTCTTGAGGTTTCTTCAGACAATCAAGTAAGTGTGGCATTCTTTATTTATCTTCAGTTCAGGCTGAAAGCATTGACTTTAATGTTACACTGATAGGTATTCAGATACGTTACAGTTTTAGTGCTTCTTGACTACAAAGGAGATGTGACAGTGCCCTACTCTAGAAAATGTGGCCAAGCCTGTCTAGACAGCTTGATCTAGCTCTGTCTGTCATCTAGTACCAATTAGAAGCAGGA